TCATGGCTTCCCATTACGTCCTGGCGAAGACAAATGTAAAATCGGGGATCCACCATCTCCAATGACCTGACAATTATAGTTATACCGTGCTACCAATCTTCCGTAGTTTTACAAAAAATCCATAGTTTCTGACAGTACCGTACTTGCTCCACAATCATTATCAACTTCATCCATAAAAAGGTGACCTCTACAGAAATTACTTAGCAAAGGATCTGTACTCGCCTTTCTTTTGTCTTGTGTACATTTTTCAGATATTTTTGGAGCCTCTCTGCAAAAAGTTAATGTTATAGAAACTTGCCAGATTGTGCATGTCCTGCAATCGATCATTATCCTGCTATGCATTCATTGCGGGTTGGTCAGCAATATTTAAAACAAATTTTTTTTCGGTAAGTGTTTTACGGCACTCTCACAACTGCATAAGGTCATATGAGCGTGCTGGACACATTAAACATTTTCAGTTGGTAGGAAATTTCGAATTTTGCCTGGGTGGCAGCCGAAGCCTACTCTTGTAGATTTTGGACCTCCATGGGATCTTTAACGTGCATAACTTGCACATTGTAATACATTTTTACCGCCTGCAAATTGATCAAAATCTGGCTAGCCATGATAACGAACTTTTTGTGCGAATTTCATCCTCTCTTTCATTCACTCATTCTTTCTATTTTCGGATTGTTGCTGCGACTGGAAAATCTGCGCGTTGATCAAGTAAATTGACTTGTGATTTTAGACAGAAAATAACTGTCTGAAAGGAACTTGTTTTTGTAAATTTGTCTAGATGTAGAAAAATTGTCAATGTTGCGATGATTCTTTGGGAGCCTGATAAGGACCGCTGTGGACTTATAATATGCTGAAACTACTAGTCTAAAATCAAGAATGATTTGAAGTAGTGTTCCCAGGTTGTGACATTTGGCAATTAAAATGTGAAAATGGAGGAAAATTAGGATATATGCATTGCCAGCAATCAAAAGATACACAGAGTCCCCCACCATATCTTTGGATAGGATTTGAAAGACCAGAGATATTTCACTTTGAACAAAGCTTAGGATTTTCAATTCAAATGTGAAGTCGGTCCTGTTGTATGGGTGTGAGACGTGGAACGCATCACAGACTTGCATAAAGAGGCTCCAGGTTTTCTTGCACAGGTGTCTAAGTAAGTTACTGAGGATCAGATGGACAGACAGGGTCGCCAATGTGGAAATTGTAAGGAAAACAAGACAGATCCCAGTCAGATATGAGGTAGGAAGAAGGCGATGGCGATGGATTGGACATACTCTCATGAAGTCAGGCAGCTGCATAACAAAGAAAGTTTTGGATTGGAACCCACAGGGTAAGAGATCAAGGGGAAGACCGCGTGGAACCTGGAGAAGGAGAAGAATCACAGAAATCGATGTACAGAAAAGTGGGAAGACATGGAATAACATCAAGAGGCTAGCCCAGGATTGAGAAAAGTGGAAGGTGTTTGTCCGTGGCCTATACCCTGGTGCTGGGTGAGAAAGGCAATGATGATGATGATGACCAGGTCGGGAAGTCTGGAAAAAGTCTGGAATTTTGTGATGGGTCGGTAAGTCGGGAAAGGATAGGGCTTGTGTAATATTAGTAGAGTAGCTGTCTGGACAGTATGGTTGATGAATCATGAAGAGGATTTACGTACTTGAACTGCTGTGGCGGCAGGCGGAAGTGTATATTTGACACCGAGGCTCAATCGTGAAGAATCAAAAACTACTTTCGCTTTCGTTACAACCCAGAAATTTTCCGGTAAAATAGTCTGATAGTGATAGATAACGCAACATTTGTAACATGCAGGTTGTGCATTACAAACGCTGTGTGGCCATGAAATTAAATCAGTATTTGTATCACAATGCGGTGGAATCGGGCCCTCGTTAATTTCTGGGCATGTGGAGTTACTGGTATCATCTAAAAGCCTGTTCATTTTGCTTGGTCTTGATGTGATTGAAGGAGGTGATGATCATCTGGTTTCAGAGGTAAAATTAGCGAGAAAATGGCTGCCAAAGTGGAGTTATTTCTTTAACCTGAGAGTCCGTGGAAACTGAAAATTTACATTTCTTCCACCTTTAATCAACGTTTTTTAAAGTAAAATCTACACAGAGATGTGCTCTTTAATGGGCATGAAAGGTGTTGAACCAAAAAATAAAAATTCGATTAAAATTCCCAAACCTGGGGGAAAATGCCAATTTCTTGACTTTCTATACATTTGTCCTGTGCTGTCACATGTGAAAAAAAAAAGAAAAGAAAGTTATACAAGCGTCTTATTAGGTTTGCCATCGTGACCTGCGTGTTCGCTTCACATGATAAGGCATCGTGTGAGTACTGGCAGTCTGAGGAGGACAAAAACTGAACTTGAGAAGCTGGGTTGGCAGTCACCCAGTATTATAATCATCTATTGTTCAAAGACTATACTACAAAATGTGCATTTGCATTCAATTGAGACGTTTTGACTTGTTATCATTGATGGATTTTTTTTGGGGGGGGATCATTCTTGAGGCACAGCGGCTTTATTTTTCCCTCTAATTGGGGTCTTGAAAAAAATTTCTAGGCTTTGGTGGGGACCCTAGATATATGTAGGTGGAGAAATCAGACAAGACAGAATTTTGGTGAAAAAATAGGTGTTAAGGGTTGTTGGCAATCTCTTCAAACAGGCTTTCAAAATGCTGTTTTCAACCCTCTAAAATTATTAGATCTAAATTCAATTTCTTCGAGAGCTTTGCTCCCTGAACCCCCACCAGGACACTGTCCCCAGACCTTTGACAGAATTTTCCTTATTTTTCAGCTTCAGCTGTTGGAAGCACTGATTTTGTCAGCAGGAACTTGAAGTTTTATTTTCCAAAGTTTTAATGTCTGAATTAGTAGACCTGCCCTAAGTAATGTAGAATCTTTCTTTGCTCACAAGTGTTATTCCAACTATATTACAAGTATGGTCGAACCTGCCTCAATGGAAACCTGTCTTAACGGAATCTCCCCGCTCCCCCCTTGATATTATATTCCTCATTAATTACCTGTATAATACGGAAACCTGTCCAACGCAGAAATGGAAAGAAAAATCCGCTCCCTTCCGAGGATTTCATCTGTCTAAGACTGAAAATGCTTTGCCTGCTCAGCCCTGATTTGAAACAAAACTCGCAAGTTTGGTTCCGCTATCTCTAAACTAACGCTATGGTCATTTGGCTGGGCGAGGAAGGGGAGTAGGGGAGCAATTTGGGTGTAGATGTTACCCCATCATATGAGCCCTGAGCGATGCAGATGGTCAGTGTAGTGTGGGTGTGAAATCTCATGGCTGCCCTGAGAGTGCTCGAGTAGCGAGCCACTACGGAAACTTTCCTGGGTAGCCAGAAGCCAGAGGTGTGAAATTAGATTGACCCATGCTTGCCGACCTGATCGTATGGCAGCCGAGAAAAGAGTTCCTTGAATCGTTGTTACAATGATGGCAGTAAGGGATGGCATTGGTGGGTGGGGCTAAGGATGGAAGAAAGGGAGATGTTC